TGTGCATTTATTTCGACAGACGACACACACACACACACACACACACACACACACACACACACACACACACACACACACACACTTGCACACTGGGAATAATTTGTCCAGTATCTCACTTTACAATTCAAATCAGGTCTACTTGCAATTCATTTTTACCTTGTTTACCACAAACTGGGATACAATTTTAATTAGGGTGTATATACAACTCAATCCGAGATTCTTCAATTTTATCCAGAATTTCTATGATTTTTACTTTACAGTTCATAAATGTTAAGTAATGTTCAGTTTGATGATGTTATTGCTGGACAAAAATAATGTTAAGGAGTAAGACCTTAATTATGGTGTAAATGTTTTTATTATTGTAGGATGTGGTCTGATTTCTATTTTGGAAGATAGTAGTGATGTGCTTACAAGCCAATCATACCAAGCACTGCTTTGTTAGTTAAAATTAATGCTTTTAAAACAATTGTATGTTATTTGACACAAATGAAACTGTGTTTGAAATAAAAACAAAAAGCTTGGTCTTAAATTTGTTGTTGGAAACTTCCTATTTTATTATGAAAAAAATCAATTTATTCATGTGTAATACTTTTTATTTATTGAAAGTGTTTAAAAGAAAACATATATTGAAATGTTTAGACACCTCAGTCAAAACAGCTGGTAACTTATAGTCACTAGTGTCAACATGATTATGTATGTAATAATATTAATTGAATCAATTTAAATGTGAAACACAAAGCATTTTCTTGAAATATTTATGCAAAAAATATGCAGTACCTTAGTTATGCCTGTCAGGTTTTTCCTGTGCCATATGTTACAGGTAGTTTTCAGAGACAAATAGTTTTTATTTTCTGTGAACTTATTAGTAACTTGAATTTTGGCTTAGTTATTTTTCTCTGATCTATTTATTTTATCCATTAACTATAGCTATTTTATGTATAAAAACCCTTTAAATTCATTTGTTATTCTTAGGTTTGATGCATGAGGATCTTCAGCTGTTCTTGGAAACAAATGTTCCAAAAGGAAAGAAAAAGGAGAAAGTGATACTTGGAGTTGGAGATGTTAAAATAAGTGCAGCCATTCAGGAGACATTAGGCATTTCCTGCCAATATTCTGGAGTGGTGCCTGAAATACTGAGAGGTAACTTACTAGATAAAACTGTCTAGTCCATTAAGTTTTTATAGTTTGAAAATATCAGGTATCTTTGTGTGAAAGATTTGGATGTAATTTGTGGTTTCTGTTGTAGTCTGTTCTTTAGTTTAATGGTTGAAATAAAATTGTGAATATTCAAATAAATGTGAATTTGTTTCCCCTATAAAGTGTGACTGAAAATTGACAGACATTTTAATCCTGTAATTGTATAGTTACATTATAGTCATCTGTTCAAAGGTCTAACATTCAGTTAGTTAACAAGTTAATAACAGCAATGAACTTCATAAGAACAAAGTTGGTCAATTTGACAAACTTGGAGCTGTGAAACTATACATAATGTAAGTTTACATTTATTATGTGTAACTTTAGAAAACTTAGGTAGGAAGCTTTCAGTAAATATTACAAGTGTATTGCATATGAAAAATTTAGATTTTTATTAAAGTATTTATATGAAAAGCTTGTGTGAATTTACAGTCTTTACTGAGTCAGTCTGAGTGAAAGGTGATTTTCGTACTAAGAATAAAAATAATCATTTTCATTTTACACTTTTCATTTGTGTTTTATTTAACATCTAGAACTATATACATCTATATATATAACATCTAGAACTTCCTAACTAACTATCATATATTTTTTTGTAAGAATTTATATTTCATTTCTTAAACACTAATTAATGTATACTGAAATGAAAAGTAAAACTCTGAAATAAAATGAATAATAAGATTTTTCCTCTGCACTGATTGCAGTATTGTTCAGAAAGTTCCAAATTACTTAACATTTTCAACTTTTAACCTTTTTCGGATCTGTTTGATGGTTTTATTGCCATTTTTATACAACTGGAACAGTAATTTTTCTGTGGAAAGCAGTAAATCACAACAGGAACCTATTACCGGTTTCATAAAGAATCAACCTAATTAGTTTCATGTTGTGCACGTGTGCTTGAGCTAGTGCAATCTTAAATGATTTATTTTATTGAAATTTTGTTAGGCTAAGCAGAAGAGTTCACAATTTTTTATTTTAATTTGTAAATAAATATGCAAAAAACATTATTACTCACTGCTTATTTGAGCTTTTTAATTAAATTTTAATGTAACACTGTACAAGGTCATGATGTGCATTTTATTTTGACCCATTTTTACAGAAAGAGTTAACTTTTATATGCGGAAACATCTGTTAGCTGAGTTCTTGCACATATCTTGAATAATAATGTTGATAAACGAAAACATTGGCATATGTAGATCTTGAAAGTCAAGTTGTTCAAAACTTGAAAATAGCATTGATAACTGGACCAATTGGTTGAGATGTTGCAAAGGAAATATATGCTGAAGGTTTTCGCCAGACACTAATCATAGCAGAACCGTCTGGAAAATGATCTATAGGAAATGGTACAGCTTATAAAATGAGTCAGATCAACGTAGGCCGGTAAGGCAATCACTGATTGGCAAGTCCTTAAGCCAATCAGGAAATGTCACAGACCTACTGAAGGAAGTGTAGATTGTATAGGAATTATTTTTTCCATGAAAAAGAACTATTCAACAAAGTTACCAGACCTGCTGTTTACTTCCACTATGTAGATGACACACTTGCCATTTTTAAAACTGAACACGAATGTGAGTGTTTCTTGCAAGACCTAAACTCGTTGCACTGGGCTCCCAAATTTACTTTTGAAAGAGAACAACATAACTCTTTACCATTCCCAGACATCTTAGTTGAAAAAGATGACTTTCATTTTCTCACCAGTATATACAGGAAACCTACCTTTACAGGACAGTACACACTATGGGATTCTTTCAGTCCTAAAAGTCGCAAAACAAACCTTATTGCTACTTTAGTCCATTGGGCTCTAGTTATCTGTTCAAAATCTAAACTAGATTTCAAATTGAAGACAATTAAAACTATTTTTCTAGAAAATGAGTATCCAGAAAACGTCATCAATCAAATTACTTCAAGGAAAATTGCGAGCTTCTCAACTGCCCCAAAATTTGGTCCTAACAAGTGTCCTGTTTACCTAAAACTACCATGGATTGGTAGCATTTCAACAAAATTTGAAAAACATTTGAAAACGGACATTATTAAATGTTTTTCTGCAGTGAACCCCTACTGTGCTTATTTCACACATAAGCTGTTGCCTGAAACACACAAAGAATCGATACCTACCACACAGAAAAGTATGGTTATTTATGAATTCTCGTGCCACTGCAAATGTCGGTACGTAGGTCGCA